TTCGGGAGAGAATAGCAAGTTTTCGCCCAAAATCAGTCCATAATTGGCAGTTGTTGGGTGCATGAGTAGTCGATGTTGTATTGGATTGGAAAGTTGGATTGCACGAGCGGCACAATGAACTGGATTGTCTTTTTAACATATTCGTCTTATAGGAAGCAAAATAAATAATTTGTAAGAGTGAGGTCACAAAATAATGTCATAATGCTAATAATTGAATTGGATTCAAAATGTTGATCGGTTGGCCCACATCTCTATGGCTAGTTTCTCCATAAAGAAACTAATGTTGTCCCGAGTTAAGCTGGCCATATTTGACACTGTTACATCATACTCGAAGTATTTAATGCAAAACATTCCTCAGTCACCAGAACTGCTCTGCTGGGGCACGGATGTTACCTGGCGAACGCGTCATGGTACGTTTGGTAATGTCAGCCTCAGTACCTGAACACCGGCCCTATGCATCAATGCCGGTAGGACAACGGCCATCGGCCTCAACTCGAACTCTAAAGCTAGCAACAATGTCATCGACCTCATTGAATCCCATACGATGATCTCACCGTCCTGCAGATCAATGCTCAGCATAATCCAATGGTTGCCTCCGATGTTGTATGGTAGGTAAACAACATCCAACACAAGCCACCATGTCTAATAGTCAATGTGCGTCCCGTCCATGTAGCTCAAGATGGTCTTACACTTGCTAGCCCAATCGTATTCTGCTGCAACTCTCGCAGTACTGCGTTCAGGGTCGTCATGCATTGGTGTAGAACCATTGCCACCCTTAGGACCATCACCCCGACCACCATGACGCCACTAGGTCCATCACTGGGTCTGTTTCTGGGTCCGCCACTAGGTGCATCACTAGGACCATCTCCTGGCCCAGTACCATCACCGCTGCTGCCTCTTCTCATGTCTCATTCGGGTCGGCAGGTAAACCCTATACAATGGAGACAAGTTACTTCTCACTAAATGAAAAAGACATCGTAGTTATTATAAGTGAAAACTATTATTACCTTAGCGATTCTTTGCAAGAATTTCCGGATGGATTTTAATTCAGCCTCAATACCTCTGATTCTGTCATCCATGCACTTCAAACGTTTCTCAACTTTTCTCAGACGCACATTGGACATACGTACCTTCTTACCACTTCCATTATCCTCTTTCTCCTCAACTTCTACATGAATGTCTTTTCTGACGCCTTCATCGACGTTCGCTGCTTGTCCCCTGTCATCTTTCTCTGGTCCTACATGTGCACTTGATGGTCCAGCAGCATCATTCTCATGCGGGACTTCGTCCTCATCTTCAGATCCGGGTGGTTCAAACGCCCTATTTAGGAAGATCGTCTCAACCTCTGTTGCTTCTATTGATCGAGTTCTTCCCTACAACAATGGTAATGAACGTGTCAGCCTAAATGTGGAAATTAAAGAAAGTTATAGATAGAAACAAGATTTAACTTACTGTGCTAGATCGGAAAATCTCTCTGTCCAGCACATGCCATGCAGTTGAATGGCCGCACCTCCACTGAAAAATACGTGGAGGCGTCTGGATTTACCTTATTGACCATACGCCCAGATAGGAAAGATATAGTCTCGTACGCCAACACCTGTACATATAAGTGGTGGAAGTTATAGAATTCGTGAAATCCTCGGCATATTCGTCCTAGATAAATTATGTTAAAAGATAAAATATTGTGTTGAGAGGTCAAAGATCGATAGCAAATACCTCGTCATCCATGGATGACTCTAACCGCAATGAATCGATCATAATATGGTCCATCGGTTTGCTCTGAACAGGAGTCTCCTCGAGAGAGACAGCCTCGCAACGCGCATTTAGACCGGTTTCCATACTCTCCTTATGCACATCCTCTGTACCCATGTCTTCCTTATGCGATAAGGCAGGTGCATGCTGCTTCAAACAGGTCACATGAACCTTCGTCAGACCATGGTTACGATCGAATTTTAACGGATGGATTACGAACACATACCTCGCGTTCTGGTGTCTAAAATCCAGGAATGTCTTGTTCAGCCTGGTCTTCAGCAGTTTGACTGGAATGAGGTGCTTCTGTCCTATGCACGTTCACATTCGAGGGTCGATGATCATGTCATCTATGGCTTCCCCATCTATAGTAGATGGTGTAGAACCATCGCCACCCTTAGGACCATCACCCCGACCACCATCGGCGCCACTGGGTCCATCACTGGGTCTGCCACTAGGTCCATCACTGGGTCCGCCACTGGGTGCATCACTAGGATCATTTCCTGGCCCAGTACCATCACTGTTGCTGCCTCTTCTCATGTCATTCGGGTTGGCAGGTAAACCCTATACAATGGAGACAAGTTAGTTCTCGCTAATGAAAAAGACAACGTAGTTATTATAAGTGAAAACTGTTATTACGTTAGCGATTCTTTGCAAAAATTTCTGGATGGATTTTAATTCAGCCTCAATACCTTTCATCCTGTCGTCCATGCGCTTCAAGCGTTTCTCAACTTTTCTCAGACGCACACTGGACATGTGTACCTTTTTACCACTTCCATTCTCCTCTTTCTCCTCAACCTCCACATGAATGTCTTTTCTGACGCCTTCATCGATGTTCGCTGCTTGTCCCCTGTCATCCTTCTCTGGTCCTACACGTGCATTTGATGGTTTAGCAGCATCGTTCTCATGCGGGACTTCGTCCTCATCTTTGGGCTCGGGTGGTTTAAACGCCCTATTTAGGAAGATCATCTCAACCTCCATTGCTTCTATTGATCGAGTTTTTCCCTACAGCAATGGTAATGAACGTGCAGCCTAAATGTGGAAATTAAAGTAAGTTATAAGTAGAAACAAAATTTAACTTATTGTGCTAGATCGGAAAATCTCTCTGTCCAGCACATACCATGCAGTTGAATGGCTGCACCTCCACCGAAGAATACGTGGCGACGTCCAGATTTACCTTATTGACCATACGCCCAAATAGGGAAGATATAGTCTCGTACGCCCACACCTGTACATATAAGTGGTGGACGTTATAGACCACTTGAAAAGAACGAAAACTGAAAATAAGTATTTGTGCTCATACCTAGAACGCCAAAGAGAAACCGTAGAGACTGTATGATTTCCTGAACGCGCCATCCTTCGACCTCTTCGTTAGGCCACGCTTCAGACTATATATAGTCTTATCAAAGGACAGCATGCCCCAATCGTGGTTGTAGCAAATTGTAGAGACTGTATGATTTCCTGAACCGGCCATTCTTCGACCTCTTTGTCGGGCCACGCTTCAGACTATATATAGTCTTATCAAAGGACAGTATGCTCCAATCGTGGTTGTAGAAAGTTTCCCAATCATCGACTATTCCCAGCAAGGTATAGTCGTACTTTAGGGCCCTCTCTTTCCTCAACAGAACTAACTCTACTAAGTACACAATAGATATGTTGACCGCGTCGAAGTCATCCTCGAACTGTGCGATTATATAAATCTTCTCAAAATCACTCAACAGTACGTCTTTTTGCTATCATTAAAGTAAAGAGCCCTAAGTCTGTGGAGAGATGTGTCTTTTCTAATTGAACTTCTATCATACTTAAGACCAGAAATAATGTCAAACTCCCTCCGCCCAAATGACACCTTACTCCTAAACAGGTTGAAGTTAATGGTGTCAGGTGTACTATCATCGATCTCCCTAAGTAGGATGTTGTGTATCAATGGCTTGTTAAATACGAGGTCCAAGTCAAGGAGGTGGCCGAATACAATTTTCCTAAGCATCCTAAGCTGTGTAGGTTCAATTTACTCTTAATGGATGTGGTAGTCTTCGCTAGGTGTGACAGACATGTCAAGTTGGCGGAGGCATAAGGTGAGGGAGAGATTTTAGGTACCATTTCCATTTTCAATTAACCTGGAGACGATTAAATAAAGGATCCAAAAATTTGAGAAAATGACAAACCATACATATAAGTATATGCTAATAACCAACCAATACTTTAACCAACAAAAACAAACCTTTTTATGTCAACTTTCTCCTAGCCATTCTCGAGCGAAGTCGTGCACGATAATTTAGTAGTATTAAATTAACTCAAACATTTCGCTCGGGAATCATTAATACTGTAAAAATTCTCAGAGACTTTTACAGGCGAGAACGGGCACCGAGAATTATTCCAAAGCCTACAACTCCCACAATTTCAATTGAGTTCACCCAAAATGTCCCGAGAATTTGGAATGTTATTTATCATATGTTAGAATTCTCTGGGCATTTCGGGCGAATCAATAGAAAAAGGATTCCAAACACACCACACCCGAAATGCCCCGAGAATTTTTTCAGACGATAAATAACACTCCAAATCTAAACCCACCACGCCTGAAAGACCCCGAGAATTTATAATTTTTCAAATCCCTAACCTAATTCGCCCGAAAACCACCAAGAATTCTTCAGATTCCTAAGAAGACACTCCAAAACGTTGGTAATCCTCACCGACCTCGCCCAAAACCCACTGAGAATTCTCCAGATTCTAAAAAATCGAAGCCCTAACCCACTTCGTACGAAATCACCCCAAGAATACCTCCCATTTGAAAAACCCACAACGAAATCCACAACGAGGGTCATCTTCAACATCCCATACACCTCAAACAACCAAAAATTAGTACAAATAATCGCCGGAAACTAAAACCCCTAAGAATCTAAAATGAAATAGATGAAAAAAAAAACCTAAAAACCAAACTCTCATGTATACATGCGACAGAAAACAAGAAATAAACAAAACGAAATCGAACCTCCAATGTCCATGCTACTTTCAAAACGAAATCAAACCTCCAATCCAAGCGTTCGATGTTGAAGGGAACAGAGGAAATAAAAAAGGAGGAGAAGAAGACGCATGAAAACGAAATGGAAGAGAAAGGAGGGAAAGGAGGCCAACGGTTGGTTTTTTGACTCGAGGGACACAAGTGTAATTTCATTTTTTTTAAAATTAATTAAAATAATAAAGTAGGTCATTGAAAACAATTTAAGAGGGCAGGGTTACTTGAGCACGTTAAGGGTCATTTGAGTCAATTTACCGTCAAACTGCCCACCCGCTGCCCACCCAGCCTGAATATTCGTCGCGAAAAACCTCCGAATTGGCTAAAACCCTACTTCTCAATTCCAACCTGAAGAAGCCGATTGATTCAGAACTCTTTCGTTTTCTCAAAATGCGTTCCTCCTCTCGACTCCTAATCAATCTTTCCAAGAGGAGCTCCTGGAATCCCGATCTGTTCTTCCCCTTATCGACTCCTAATTCGACTCTGTTACAGTCCCGATCCATCTTCTCCACGACGCAGCTTCAGGGTTCATGGGTGGACAAGATCAAGGGAGTCATCACTGGAAAAAAGAGCACTCCTGATGGAAGCGAAATCAGCTCCCAGTCCTTCACTCTTCTTCGTACGCCTCATTTCCCACCACTTACAGCTACCCTTCTTCCATTGCACGATTTTTTTATTCCCAAACATGGCGACAGATGCAATGTTTATGATTGAATGAACGTTGTTAGTTTTCATGGGTTTCTTCTTGTTTATTGAATGAAATGCTAATTTCTACGATTTTGTCTATTTATTTTCTCCTCAGGGTTTGCTGATGAGTTGAAAAATGCCCGAAGAGTGGGGGCATTCAAGCAATACATTGTTGGAAGAAGCAGTGAAGCTACTTTTGCGGATGCTTTTGAGAAGCAGGAAGCGATTATTCGCTATTTGGGAGGTTTTGATCCCACAGGAGAGGTTGGTTTTTATCAGTTTGTTTTAATGTAATCACTTTTTTGTTTAAGTTGTAATGGAGAAGTTATACTGTCTGCCAATAATGTAACCATCCTAATTCTATCCATGTCTGCAGTATTTAGTCTTCAGTATGAGCCACATGAGTATGTGTCTCCTGAATTTTGTTTGGGTGTTGATGCAATCTAAAATAATCTCCCGAATGATAAATTTGCCTTCTTTTGATATTTGTCTTTCCTAATCACTCTAAAAATTTTGATTTGGTTTCTGAAGAGAGCTGTATGTAAAAAAGCCCGATGACTCCAAATGCCAGTCCCAAGAATCAGGGAAATTAGTGGGAGAACAGCCTTCAATATGACTCGAGAGTGGGATAGCCAATCCACACATTCGCCTTCCTTGAAGTTTCTCCTAAAGTTGAGATTCTAGATAGAGAGCTTGTTTTTTCTATATCTGGGCTATAGATTATCTGAGGATAGAGCATATAAATTCAGAAAGTGGGAGGCAAGGGATGTATTCTCTCCAAGCATCTTCCGGAAAGTTGGTGTTGAGGCCATTACTGATGGTGTAAGATATTATGGAAATAATGAGATTTTTTTTACTTTCCAAATATACTTTCGTGGGCTTTTTGATGTGTTTGATGGTTTGATAAAGTAGACCACGAATCTTTAGGAAATGATCAAAACTTAGCTACAGTAACTTTTCTCCATTGGACATCATTTTTGAGAATATAGTGTTAGCTCCATTTAGCAAGAAAAACCTTGTTCCGCTCGAGTGAAGGGGGCGCAAAAAGGCAAAACTTTATTCCAATTGACAAGTTGGGGCAACTGGCAAGGGGAGTTGTTGGCGCATCTCCAACAACTGATTTCTGGGTTTTTATGGTTTGAACAGTGTTTAAGCGTGCCTAAAGGTCAAGAGCATTCTGGGGATTAATCAGAAAGTGCCAAAAAAATAAAAAACAAGGGCCCTGTTTGAGGTGCACAATAAAAAAAATGTAACATAAGTTTCTATAATTGAAAAAACATAGTATTGCGAATAATAAGATAGTGAAAATGTTAAGAAATTAGAGTTTATGTGGGGTATTGTTGTGAGAAATGAGCATTTTTCAGTATTTTTAAATTTCTTAAATTTTTAAGAAATAAAAAGTAAAAAAAAAAAAAGAACTTGAGGTGTTGAGGTGCATGCCACGGTCCGCTTCACTCACTTGACTAGACTGCACACTTTTCAAAACACTAGGTTTTTAATTGGTATAGTTATTTCATATTTGATACTACTACATTTGATATCCAAGAAATTTGTGAGGTGCCTTTACATCCTAGATAGGTGGAACAACTTTGGAATTCATGACCACTTGGTTGGGAGGGCTTGCGACATTGATATAGTCTTTCAGCTTTTCACTTCTACTGATATTTATTTCCTTCAATCGAATTCTTAATCTTCTTTTCTACCAACTGACAAGCCTGAACTATATAGGGTTGTTTCCATGCTCCTATAATATTTTCCTTGTTACTAATGGTGAATTAGCTCCATTTGCTATCTCTGAGAATTCACTACCTGTGTTTTTATCATGTGAGTCGGAAAATAAATAATGAATAGAGTAGTAGTTTCAAAAAGAACTAGTTGGGTTCTTTTTATTATTTTATTTGCATAAAAAAGAAAGAAATTTGCTCCACGTTCTGCCATATTGTTCTCCTAACCTTTATTTATTCCAACAGTTTCCGTATTGATTTATTCTTCTGGATAAGTTTTCTGATTGTGATCTTAGGCTTCCTGATCTTTAGAACATCCAAACTAGCCAAAAGCAAGAAGCAGCTAAAAATTGTAACTGCACGATTGCTGAGGTTGAGAATGCACTGGCAAAGTTTATCTGGGCTAAAGAAGCGCAAAAGAAGATTGAGAAGTTAAGGGAAGAAGGAAAACCTTTGCCGAAGAGTATTTCCGAGGTATAACTTTATACATACTGTTCCCTTCCCTGTTCTTAAGAGCTAAAAGTTAACTGTCAAGATTACTCTATCTAGCCAGAAAAATGTACGTCAGTATGTCCCATTTGATAACAATTTCATTTCGGTTTTTTGTTTTTAAAAATAATGATTATTTTCTCACCATTTCTTTAATATGTTTTTGACCTTTCTTCGGGACGCTTTCAATTCTTAGCCAGATT